GGGAAAGGTGTCAGATTGGCAGCCCTGCAGACTGAAGTCTCTTTTTATCCACATAACGGATACAGCATGGAGCACTTCAAGCTTCCTTTCTAATGAGCTACCAATGTGCACCAGTCCTGACCCTGAGGGTTTCTCTCAGCTGGGTCAGTTAACTTCAGTTTAAAGCACCTCCAAACATAGCTCAGATGTTGGTGTGTGTGGACAGTAGGGAGCCCAGGGGAAGCACCCAAGTAAGAGCCCAAGTTAACTCTGCAAGGAAGCCATACTCTAAAAGAGAAAAGCGAATTCAGTTTCCAAGGCCTACTCAGTTCTTGATCTCTCCTGAAACAGCCGGCTGAGGTGGCAGCTGCATGTCTATTGATTGGTGTGATGAGACACCATCTCTACCCAACTAATTTCATATAGGCAAACTTTCACTGATCAGATGTCAGGTTCTAACAAGATTCAGTGACTCCGGACCTGGGCTGGATTAATAGCAGTGACCCAGAAGAGTCTGGGTCTGCATCTCAAGCTCACCAAGTGGAAAAAATATTAGCTAATGAACTATTGTCAGGTAAATTAGCATCTGACAGAGTCCTCGCTCTCTGTCTTCTGACAGAGGGGTGTGGATTTTCTTCCCTTTTTGTGAATAGGCTTCAGCAGGAACCACCTCCACGGATAAGAAAGGATTTCAGTCTCTTCCTCTAATCTGTGTGGCTTTCCCACTGCTGGACTAAACAAGGCAATCACATTGACTAGCACTCCACTTGCTCTGCATTAGCTGCTGGGTTCTCGGTCCCCACTGGTGGACAAATACACACATTTCCACACATCAGGCCAGATGGAAGGGAGGAGAAAGGCAGGGCCACAGGCCAGGAGGAAAGGCATACAGCCCTCATCTCCTCAAACCAGTTAAAAGAAGAAAATAAGAGGGAAAGGCTGCCCTGCTAGCTGCCAAGAGGAGGGGGAATAGAGCCCCCTACAAACACCCAAGAGGATGCTGCCATCCCCAAACCAGCATTTACTCTTGTTACCACATCAGTCGGGTAGGAAGTGGTGACTTGAGCAACAAACTCCATATTGCAGGTTTAAGCAAAGGGCACATTGTGGGACCAAGCTGCTTTAGTAGCCATCCTACCTGAGGGAAACATTCAAGAACATAAACCTCAGCTAGCTCATAACATGACTAGATACACCGTCTCATCCACCCAAAGCCAGGGCAGTGGGGCAGCTGGGTGTTGGAGGGAGGAACAAGGAGTTCAGGATCACCCCCAAAATATAACCGCATCTCCATCCTACCATTGTCTGAACTAAACTCTGTGGTGGACTGGAAATTCAAGGGCATGTACAAGAAAGTAAGTATGTGATAAATAACCCAAGGGACACTCGACTGAGCTTCAGAGCTGATTCCATACAATGCCCGCTTTTGAAATTGCCTCAAGCTGCTGGAGAACTTCCAGTATGCCACCACATCCAGCACCAGAGTGATGCAGAAACTAGAGGGCTTTGATGCAGTATTTAGGTCCAGTCACCTTGCCTATACCTCTGTTATGTTCCCTCCCCTCTGGAATCCAGCACTCACGCCAGGAAAATAACTCCCCAGAGGAGAGCTTCAGATGTGTTACTGATGTGTCTGACCATTTCCGAGCAATCTGTGTTGGTTCTGCACTTGAGAGCAGTTGGCTAACAAGCCCTGAAATAAAAAAAAAGACATGCCTTTTTTTCAGCAACAAACATCCAGCAGATAGATCAGTGTGATTAGCGAGCCCCTGTAAAAACGCCAGGGGAAATGAAAGTAGCAAAGGGAAGTGCCCTCCCCAAAATACTGAAGGGCACATGGGGCTCAGTGCCACTTAATTATTATTCTTATTTTACTAATTATACAAAGCAATCAATAAATCAGTAGTAAGGAGCACCTGCCAGAAGATGGCAGTGGATTGAGATGAGACAGCTCCATTTCCTGGCCCTTCTGTGTTAAAGGGGGCCTGAAGAAGAGCTTGTCTCCCCACAGAAGTGGGTCTAATAAAAGATATTACTTCACCCACCTTGTCTCTTTACAGAAGATTATTCCCCGTGGCTCAGTCTTGTCTGAGAGCAGGATTCCACCTTAGCAAGGAAATCAGGGTTAAGTGGTAACACTTTCAGTGCAGGCCAGCTTTGGGGAGGGGAAGACCTTATTGCCTCTTGTACGGAGAGGGGATTTGCCAAGGCAGCAGACAAGAAAGTTACAGGATCCCCAATCCCTAAACCTGCTCCCCCTTAGTCTCTGATGCCTCCTTGAGCAGGGTACGTCTTCCCACCCCTTCCTTCCCAGATACAGCGGGCCTCCTTTCACCTGGGGCTCCCTGTCTGAGCAGGGCTCTCGGCGATCACTAAGGCAGCCATTTGCCTCAGATGTCAAACTGAACCCTTAGCACTACAAACTCCATAATAAAAGCGTCGCTTGCCAGTCTGCCAAGGGAACAGGTTTCGGGAGCTAGGGAAAGATGGGTGACAAGGATTATTAATAGCGCCCCTTGATTAGCTAGCGGGGAGGTGAATGTGATACTGAGCGTGTCCCTGGGTAGCTGACACCGGTGAGGAGGGGGTATCACCCACCAAAAATAGAAAAGGCCAGGAGCCTACATAAGTGGGGTTCCCAGCCTGGCTGTCACCTCCTTTGGCCCCCTCCAAATCTAACAGCCCTTCCCACAGCACTTGGGAGTGTTCAGAAGGTAAGTAGCGAACAACTGGCCCACTTCCATAGCAAGGATCAATTCGTCCTGGCAGAGCAGGAGAGCAGGACTCCAGCCTGAGGGGAAAAAGGGGGAAATTCACCCCCTCCCCCCATAAATAACAGTAAAGGGAGATAGCAGAGAGCCCCTCTTCAGAGCCAACTGCCTGCAGGTGGAAGACTCCAGAGGAGGAGAGACAGGACCCTGTGGAGGGGGAAATGACTACATAGTCAGGAGAAATGGAGGGAAAGCAAGGGGGAAATGGGAGGGGGGAAAGGGAAGGGTGGTGCAAACAACAGCATCTCCCGCAAGACCCGCTAGCAAACCTTACACACCAAAGCCCCCTGTTGCAGAAAGGAAATTGGCTCTTTCGACCTCAGCTCCCCTTGGGCAGCCGTTTGGATGCTGTGCAGAGTGCTCCATCCTTTCTGGCAAGAGAGTCCCAGGTTTCTGCCCAGCAGCTGCTGTACCTGGGGCAGAGGGGGGGCCGGCTGGTTGTTGTTGCCAAGGTGCTGCCTGCGTTGCTTGGTGGTGGTGGCTTTATTGTTACTTTATATTTACATTGTGGGGCGTGTTGCCTGCCTGCCTGCCTGCCGCTAGCCCTGGGTGCACCCTGGCCCCAAAGGAGGTTCTATGACTCCAGGGACCAGTGAGCCGCAGCCACGGGTGGGGGAGAAAGCCCGAGTTGCAAGGCGGGGAAAGAAACCACTCTTTCACACCCCCTGCTTTGTGGGTTGCAGCCGACGGGAGAGAGCCTCCAGGGCCTGTCCACCAGGGCCCGCTCCCACAGGACACAAGCAGGGGCTACTCTCTGTTATGCAAGTGAGGGGGAGAGGATGTGAGCACCTGCTGAATTCCGAAGATCGTGTCAGGGGCATTTTGCTGTTTCTCCTCAATGGCTGGGGGTCGCTGGGATGAAACCTGAGGGAGGCGTGCCACGGGCTAAGGGTTGGCGCGGTTGATGGGGGTGGGCACGGAGCTCCGCAAGCCAGCTTCGGGGAAGACTTTGTCACCCTCTTGATGTTTACTCGAGGCCAAATGCAGCTGCGATCGACCTGGCAAATGTCTTCGTGGCGAGGGGGGAGGCGAGAGAATTCGCTCGGGTCGGCTCACAGGACAGGAAAACTGAACTGAGTCTGACCCGCGCTGCTGCACTTTAGGCTTGGCACAAGCCCTGAGCTGTTTGGGTCCGCTTTAGCCACTGCTTAGGGGAGAGCTGCTCAGGGCTTGACCCAGACACCCAGGCGCCCTCTGGGTGCGGGGCTGTGGTTCACCTGCGGAGAAAGGAGTGACGGGCTCCTGCCACGAGCAAATACAACAAATGGGGACAAGAAGGGGCCAAAGATTCACCCACCCTCCGGCCTCCAGTGAGGTGAGGCCCTTGTTAAACAAAAGGACCCCAATATCTTAACACACATGCACAGGTGCGCTCAGTGGCCTTATACCAGAACTAGGCCTGGACTTGGGGCGGGGAGGGGCGTGTTCCCTTACGAAGCAGCTGAGGAGGAGTCATTGAGAGGATGAACAAAGTTTCTCCCGAAGCCTCTTTCCTCTCTGGGCCCGATGATCCTTCAAAATCTTAGGCAGCGCAGCCACCCCATTGCCTTCAACGGGAAGGAGTGGCGGGGGTGGGCCCCGCAGCTGTGCTGGAAGGCACGACACAGCCCGGCCCTTGGTTTAGGTACTCGACGTGCAGCCAATGTGCCGGCACCTCCCGCACGGATCTGCCCCAGTGTCCCCACGCTTCAGCGCCCCCGGCCCCTCCCGCACGGATCTGCCCCAGTGTCCCCACGCTTCAGCGCCCCCGGCACCTCCCGCACGGATCTGCCCTCGTGCCCCCGGCACCTTGCGTGGCAGAGGAGGGAGGTCGGGTGGATCATTTCTGTGAAGAGCAATGGGCAAGTCGCTTACCAGGCAATCCAGACAAACTTCCCGGGCGGCTGGGCCGGCTGCTCCCAGCGGTGACTGAGCAGCGCGGCACAAAGCCTGAGCAGCCTGCGCCCGCAGGACCGCACATCAGCATAGTTACTATGGCACCTCCAGCTTCACCCTGCTGCCCTCGTGTCTGGCGTGTTGGGCGTCAGACCGGGGCTGTGTGTCAGCTACGGGGCTGGGGTGAAGAATTCAGCCCGGGGGCGGGCTAAGACAGGGGGCTCCCAAAGAGCCGAGGGCTGAAAGGTGCCGGGGGGGGGGGCGGGAGGGAGAAGCGTCTCCAGCTAAGGCTAAATTCCATCCGCTCCCCCACCCCAGCTGGCGCGCGGCTTGAGGCGGGGCGCCTGCTGCAGTGCCGTGCTCCGCGCCGCCGTGTGGAACCGGGACAGCGCACGTCTGATTTCCCCGCGCTGCACCACTCGCTCTGTCCCGCTGCACCCGGGAGTCTGCCCTTGACACAACTCCTCTGCCAGCCTAGATCGGCCCCTGGCGCTGCTCCAACGGGGCTTAGTCTGCAGCCTTCCAGAGAACCACCCCCCCCCCCCCCCCGCAGCCCCCATCCACACACCGACACGCACGTGCCCCAGAGTGCTTGTTTCCGCAGCCCACTTCGGCTAGCGGCCCTTCCCCCTCGAGAGCGGTCGCTGGCACGGGTCCAGCCCTTCCCGGTGTGCAGTCCCCAGCCGGCGCTGCAGCTTGGGTCATATGCGCAGGAATGATGAGAGAGGCACTGTTTAATCTTTTCGCACTCGCCTCTCCCTTCACCCAGCGGCAGGATGGCGATGTCGGACCTGCTCAGCACGGAGGAGATCAAGGCGGCTGTGGGAGCCTTTTCAGGTGAGTGGCTTTTCCTCTCTCCCCATGCGGGGCTGCGGTGCAATTGTGCTCCGCTCGGGGAAGGTCAGAGGAGCCGGCTGGATAAAACATCCGATGGGGATGGGGAGAAACGTGCAACGTGAGCATGTCGGGCTTATTAAACCCAGGCTGTGTCCCCTGCAAACTTCCCCGGGACACTGGAGACGTGAAACGCTCCATTCATTCTAAGGAGAAGTAGGTAGCGAAAGCAGACAGACTCGGTTCCTAGGCACGAGATATTTCCAAACGGAACAAAGCTGTAGCCACACTAGGGAAGGATATGCCTGGGGGGGGGGGGAACAGAGCCTGGGAGACCCCCCGCCCCCCAAATCCTGTCCCCAGCGTTGCAGCGCTCTCGGTTCTTGTTTCACTGGCAGACGCAACTGCTGCGGTCTGTCCTGTTAGGGGTTTTTACTTTTCAGGCTGAAGAGGAGTCGAGAGAGTGGGCTCAGCCTGCTGGGTTGCAGAAGCTTCCCGCAGGACAGATGGCTGCAGTGCGCCTTACTTCAGGCACAGATCGATGCCTCCCGTTTCAAACTCCCCCCGTTTCTCTCCGCCAGCGTTCGACAGGTGACCCCCCAAATAAACCGCACGCCGCTGCATCTGCGGCTCGGGCTTCTGCCGAGCAAGCGTCGGGATCTGTGTTCTCGGATGAACACGATCCACGCCCCCCCCCAACAAAAACTCCCTTTTCCAGCCTGCAAAGGGGGAAGCCTCTTTTTACTTCCTTCCCCCCACACACAGAGCGCACAGCCGGGAAACTCGACAGCCCGGAGCTGACGGGACATCGGGCCCCGCTCTCTTCGCTGCGGCAGCTGCCTCCATGATTCTAGGACAGCCACAAAGTCCCCCGGCACGTTGCCCCTGGTGGAATTAACTACGGCTCCGGACTCAAGCAGCTCCCACGCGCCCGAACCCCCTTATGTTGCTGTAAACCCAGAGATGCTACTAGAATAAGGATGCTTTGCAAACAGGGCAGCCTACTGCACTTTGATTTCCCCTGACATCTCTCCAGCCCCCACTGTTATAGGGCTCCCTAGGGGTGGAGGTGCTGGTGAGGGAAGGGAGAAGTGGGCCAGATAACCTCATCTTTCCTCCCTACTTGTGCAGCATATGATCTTGCAGGGGCCATGCAGCACAGCAGTCCCCCCGACCCTGCCCCAGAATACATACTACTTCTGCCTGTCCCTTTGGCTCCTAAAATGCTCCACTTGACGTTTTGAAGCCAGGTGTGGGGAATGAGGAAATGGGAGATGTCACCATAAACTAGAGGCAGGTCTTCTCGAGTCAGCCTGCACGGCTGAGCCGGGCAGAACTCTGATTTCCAAAAGGAGAAGTTTTAAAAATATGTTCGGTACAGTCTGACTCCAGTTCAGGTTTCAGGTGAATGCTCTTACTCCTCTTTGGGACATCTGGCAGTGTAGGCACTGGAGAGGAAGGGAGGAGGCCTGGGTTTAATTCCCCAACTCCCTCACTGCCTCTTGGGGTGACCTTGAGTAAGCCACTTCCCCCCTTCTGTACAGTGGGGGCACTGTCTCTGGCCCTTTGTCTATTCAGAGTTTAAGCTCTTTGGGGCAGTGACTGCATATTGCTCTGTCTATATACAAGGCCTAGCATAACGGGGCCCTGACCTTGTGGCCTCTAGGGGTAGGATTAAGAAGGCAGGTTCTTTGTGGCAGAGGGAGAGAAAATCAGGAATATCTATACCAATGTGCCTCAGTAACCAGCCTACAACTAACCCAGCCTCACTCTTCTTCTCCCGCAGTTGCTGAATCCTTCTGCTACAAGAAGTTCTTTGAAATCCTGGGGCTGAAAAAGAAGAGCCAGGAAGATGTAAAGAAGGTTTTCCACATTCTTGATAAAGATCAAAGTGGCTTCATTGAGGAAGATGAGTTGAAGTAAGTAGGTCAAGTCCTCCCTCTGTCCTTACATTAAGAGGATGTGTTCATATTTTCATCTGAGTGAAACACACCCTAATACGCAGTCCCATTCAGACTTCTAATTGCCCTGTCTTGGGCAGTGTCCGGTTGTTTGCATGGCTCAGCAGGGGGAGTAAACAGTTAAAAGTAGGATCAAATGTGTGTCGAGAGAAAGGTATCTAACTTTTATGTGAGTGATCTGTAATCTAACTACAACTCCTCTATCTCAAACAATTCCAGGTCAGAGCCCTTGTTCTGTGTGATAAAGAAGGTCGCCAACAGGGGCCAGGCCTTTGGATTCAATTGCATGTGTCAACACCACTGCTCATCATCTCTAAAAACCAGGAACGTTAAACCCTACTGACCCAGCCTTCTCTTTGTCCCATGCCTTTTCTTTAGATTTGTACTGAAGGGCTTCACCCCTGATGGCAGAGACCTATCTGATAAAGAAACCAATGCGCTCCTGGTTGCTGGAGATAAGGATGGCGATGGCAAAATCGGCATTGATGGTAGGTGGCTTCAGGAGGGTCAAATTCTGCCCCTAGTACAGAGGTATAAGCACCATAGGCTTCATTGCCAGTTGTGACCTTGTGGAGGGCAGATTAGGACTTTAGTTACATTTCAGGGCTTGCTAAATTTGTGGTACCTTCCTTGGTGCAGAAGCTGAGTCCCAACACTAGAGGGAGCAGGAATTCATAGAAACCCAGATTTAGCACAGGATGGGAGATAGCAAAGGCACTCACAGGGGGGGAGGGATAAAGGGCCCCCTCCAACCCTCACTGAAGTCAGGGGGAGTATTTCCATTGGTTGCAATGGGCTCAGGATCAGGCCCTCAGAGTTTACAGGAGCTGAATTTGGAGGCAGGGAGAGAGAGACACAGCAGGAGCTGAAGAGCAGCATTTCTCCTTGATTAAAAAAATCCTGTTTCACTTAAATGAGAACGTGATGCAAGATTTCTGATGGCTTAGCAAAGCAAATTCTTAACATTCAGTGTTGAGTAAGTCCATTGTGCAGCCTCACTGTCTATCCAAGTTCCCACCATATGCATGACACCGACAATCTTCACAGGGAAGATGGGAAACCTGTCATTTAACTTCATTAACCATAAAGCTTATAGCATCAGGCTTACAAGAAAGGGGCACATTTTTGTCCACAGCATGGCTAGAAATTTAGAAACCGATATTTTGCTCTTGCTGGCAACTTCTTGTCAAAATAATCCACAGACTGCATTTCTCCCTTTCCTTTTTCTTTTCTCTCCTCCACATTACCGAGGCTCATTGGAACAGATATGAAGTTGTGCAGGTCTGAATGAATCCTTTCCCTCTATTATAAGAAAGGAGGTGGAAGGGGGGGGTTCTAGCTGGATCATTATGCCAGCTTAGCAGTAGAAAATCACTTTGTAACCTCCCATCATCCTGACAGCCTCTTTGACAGGGTGAAAATTGGAAACATCTCAATTTTAACTTCAGATAGTCCTGTCTTAGTATTATCCATTCTCTTGGATTTATAAAGGTGTGGTCTTCAAATGGTATGCAAAATACAAGTGAAAGTGAGGTTACTTAACATGATCTCACAGTTTATAGGGTAGAAATAGAAGGGATGGCATACAAAATTACCCAATGAGAGAGGTGACAAATAAGATACGCTCAGCTGCCTGACCATGGCACACCAGTAGAACAGTGTCTATGGGCCTATTTCCAGGCTAAATCCTCTTAAGTTCTCAGGCCCTGATATGTCACAGTGACATAGGAGCAAAGCGAGCTGTTGCTGATTACTAGCAGCCGTCTTGAACTCAGGGTTCTAGGTCATAAATCTCAGATACTTTCACATGCTTTATTACTGACCGAGCCTTTCCAGTCCCACTCAAATCAGTGGCTCAGTTCCCAGAGATCTAGACAGGAGTGCAATTTACAGGAATCAAGTCATCTGAAGATCCTTGTAAGGATGCTCATAGTTGGTTGGCCAACGTGATAACTCCACGGCTGCGAAACAGGAGCAATCCCAGTTGAGTTAAAAGAAACCTCTACTTATGAAATGTTTCAGACTCATCTTGGCTTATATGAAAGAGAAGGGTGTTGGCATCTCTTAAAATTAATGGTGTGGCCAACATTTAAAAAAAAAAAAAAAGGGAAGCGATGCCTGCGAGCAGACCTATTCTATGAGAGCAATCTGGAGTGTCTCCTCTCCCATCAGTTTCGCACCTGTGAAAGTCCACTGAATTCTGTGGAGTTACTGTGGATTTACCCTAGTGTAAGTGCGAAAGGAATCAAGACCCTGATTCTTTTTCCTTGCACACTTCTGGCCAACACCCCCACCAAGCAACATTCCAGAGCTCTCCTCCCACCCAAGCCTCATTCTACTAGCAAACTGCTGCACCAGTGAGGCGTGGAACGTGTGGCAATTTACCTGTTGTGAGGGACAGAGCAAAAGAGCAAGGAGAAATGGTGATAAGCGACATGTTTGAGACACTTTGCCCTGTCTCACAATATGCCTGATTCACCAACCATGAAAGCCTCAGCAGCTGGAACGCCCACAGCTATTTCTTAGCTTTGGTATTTTTCAATTTTGATGCTATATTTTCTGCTATAGAAACACTGGATTTTTTTTTCTAATAAATGAATTGTCCTCCTTCACCCCAGGTCCATCCCTTGGGTCAAGTTTTCAAACGCCACCCTGATCATTAGCTGACTATGGAGATCCAGCCTTTTACAGATGATGGTAATGAATTGGATATCCCCTCAGTCTAGTTCCCAGCAGCCCATAACAGTTCTGAGAGATGAAGGATTGGCATTCCTGCCTTCTAAAGATTTATTTGAGCATGCCAAGTCCACCTGTTCCTCAGTTCTTTCATTGTAGGCTTCCATCTTAGCTGTCCTATGGAGCCTCCTTCAGAATCATGTGTCAGATTAGGAATGATCTCTCAGATCTCCTGTTCAGATCTCATCTCTGCTTCCACACACAATTCAGGAATTATTCCAATAATCTATCCATACTTCTGGCTAAATGGATCAAGATTTATATTTTGGGGCTGGCCTGCCAATCTAGAAGTGTTGAAAACACGGGGCCTACTCCCGCAAGGTGCTGACCTGTCTCTTGAGAGGTACTGAATCCCTTCATCTTTCATTGGATCCAGTCAAAATTGAGGGACCAGAACAACCTCCAAGCCCAGGTCCATGTTACCCAGGAGGGTGACCATCCTCCAGACCTCATCTCCCAGACTGAAGGGGAATGCTACTGAGGCCACAGTCAGTTTCAGGGCAGGTGAGTCTAGCCTTCCACAGTCCCTCAGCTGGAAATCATCACCACCACCACCACCACATGCTCAGATTCCAAGGGCACAAGAGAAAACCAAAAAAAGGAAGGTTTGTACTTGAGGTCATTTTTTGACCTCTTATGTGCTATTGGACAAATAAATCATACCCTTCAGTTCCTCTAGCTGCCTGATGCTGCTAGGCCTGTGATGTCAGAAGCCATGTTCTCCAGGGAAAAGATCGGAAAAAAGAGCCAAACTTTTATTCAGGTAGATCACAATCTTTATCTAGTACATGTATTCACGCTCCACTCCAGCTGAGGTTCTGGGAATACTTCTAATTCCACCAGTCATTTTCTCAGAACTCTGTCATGAAATATGTTCAGACTTCAAATCCACTATTTGTTGGCTCAAGTTAAAAAAAAAACACACACACACAACACTAAAAGAAAAATCAGGAGGGGGTAAAAAATGTTCTGATGAGTTTCTCTTTTGCACTCGTGTGTCCCAAAATAATGTATTACCAGTTTGGAGAGAGAAATGATTAGTCTATAATAAATTCAGAGATTACCTTTGGTAGTTCAATGAAATACCACAGGGTTTGTGCTGGGTCCTCTGCAATGTTCAGGGAAAGTCTGCTGATGGTCCAAAGAGCATTTCAAAATAAAGTGAAAATAAGTTTTACATAATTAGAACTCTGGAATTTGTTTAGAATACTTAAATGTGATATACTGGGAATATAGGAATCATTCACAGACATGTAAAATATAGGGGTTATTCATATACATAATGTATTTTAATAAATAAATAGCTTTGAGCTATGTTGACAATATACAATAATAGCATCAATATAACTATTACTTTAGAAAATATCTGGCTATAGCCATGATTAATGTATTTGCAGATGTGCTGCCAGCCACTGACAGAGCGGAATCCACCTCACTACAAAATTTATATCCAGTGCTTGCCTTCTTCCTTTTAGGTGATGTCTGTTGGGTTCACAAAGGAAACTGACTTTGTGACTAAGGAGTACGGCACAGCTAAAGAGACTGGCCAAGCGGGCACCAACGGGCAGTCTGGGTGGATTGACATATCCTGAATTCCCTCTTTGGCTTCTCAAAAATGGTTTAGCTTCACTGTGAGGTTTTCTGACCCACAATCTGACCCTCTGATTCATTTTGGTTTATAAGCCATTCAATTATTGTAAAAGGTTGTTAATGAAGTTGCCCCTGCTGTCTCGGTGATGCTGTGAACCTCTATAACATGCTTCTTAATTTAAACAAATTTTCCCTTCTCCAGAATTCATAACTTTGGTGGCTGAATCATAAAGCCTTTGACCAATCTGAACCTTCCATCTGCCCTTCACCACCTGATTCCAGCCAACTCCTGCTGACCTCCTTGGCTCCTGTTCTATTTATTTTTGTTATTTTATACTCCCACTCTGTTCTCTGCAGCCCTGTAACTCTGTAATTGTGCTGAAAGATGCTGTTAAAATAAAGGTCACTGTTTTTGGCTCTACTTTCTGACTATCACATGTTCCTTCTTTCATTTAGGTTTGGGGTATGTTTTAGAGGAAGGGGATATTTTCTTATGATTTTGTGCTGAAACCATATCTGCTATTGTATCTCTGGTTAGGGTAAGGTGGGAAAGCATTAAAATAATTACTTGGGGGTGAAATATACCTAGAGTGACTCATTCAGTCAACATCCCTGCATTGGGGTAAGACTGATTTCACTCTCCTTAAACCATCTCTGATAGATGGGTGCGTATACAAAGCCTTGACAAATATCTAGCACTGGCAATCCCATAAGCTCATTTGGCAGTTTGTTCCTCTGACTTACCTGTTCTTCTAGCTCTAAAGCATTTCCTAATATTTAGCCTATATTTTCCCCCGATTCATTTCGGTGATCAAGACACTGCTCCCCAGATGTACCGTTTGTTAAATGTGTCCAGTGCTTAGAGATCTTTGGAGGAAAGGTTCTCCGGAAATATCGGTTGGCATCAGTCATGCAGGGGGATCATTTCACACCACTGAAAATACAAACCTTTCTGGGATGGAGCGCAGCGTGTATTGACGAGCAATACTACACAGCGACTTCGGCCAGGAAACAAAAAACGATTCACCAGATGAAGGCACAGGAGGAAAAGGAGAAAAAAAAAAAAAACAGCAGAGATTGGGCCACGATGCCGGCGTTAAAACACCTACTTGTGATGAAGAGCATCATGTAAGTGTTACGACTAGTACTAGGTCCTGAGTCACCATCATCACATCATACACCCTCCAGTACTGTGGGGACCAACACCGCTCTGTGAAGCCAGCCCGCACTCCATAGCGCCATTCCCCAGGACATGGCTCCGTGCGGACTCAGCAGGAAGCATACTTATTGAAGTTTGTGTTCCTACAAAAGGAGTCCTCTGCTTTTGCAGAACTACAATGCTAACGGATGGATGGGTGTGAAGAACACATTCATCTTCATGAAGTCTAAGTAAATGAAAATGGAGTAATAAAGCAAGATAGTGTTTGCTAACTTGATGGCTTTTTCTCAGCAGCTGCTGACCTCAAGTGGCAATAAGATGTAATTACACCGAGAGTAGTCACGGGGCTCACTAGGCAAGTGTAACACAGACTCATCCTTGGCCAGGATCAAACCTGGGACACCTCTGAAGCGTCAGGTATCTCTACTGCATGAGCTGTGAGAGAGCAGGAAGGCAGCAATATTTCCAACCCCAAGCATTCAAAAACCACGGGTCAGTGCTGCCTCCGTCCCTCCCCGCCCCAAAAAATCATGACATTAGCTTAAAAACCATGCGATTTTTAATAAGTAAAAATGAATTTGGGATCCTTTATATTTGCCTTCTGTTTTTTATGAATCCTAAAGGCTCATTTTCCATATTTTCTCTGTAACCATGAGGGTTAGAAACTTACTTTTAAAAAAAAATCGTTGCAGAATAAACCTTCGGTTGCTCACTTGGGCTCTAAAATCCAAAGTTTCATTTAGAACAAAGTTTCTAGCCTGTCTGGTTGTGACGAAAAATGTTCCAAATGTGAATCAAGTACAAGTCAATATCCACTTCTGTCTGAACAGCCTGACACAATAAAGTGTGATCATCTACAAATTTCACTATCAAAGTATTGTTGACTATTGCACTGCTGATTTTTTAACATTTAGCTACTGACCTTGCTCTGTAAGCCCAAACTGCGTCCACATTTTTGCAAGGGCCAAAAGCCCCAATTGTTTGCTAGTCAAGTGACAAGAACTCCCAGCACCCTCTTGGCTACTTCTATTATTCAGGTTTCAGAGTAGCAGCTGTGTTAGTCTGTATTCGCAAAAAGAAAAAAGGAGGACTTGTGGCACCTTAGAGACTTATCTGACCATAAGCTTTCGTGCGCTACAGCTCACTTCATTGGATGCATCAAATAAATTGGTTAGTCTCTAAGGTGCCACAAGTCCTCCTTTTCTTTCTATTATTCAGTTACACAGTTTTGATACAAAAGTCTGCAGCATGCTGTAAATAAACATTTGGGGCACTATAAAATAAACAATCAAATTCAATTACAGGGGCTACAGTACTGACTGAATTAACCATTTTCATATTTAATTCAATAAAACCCTCAATTGTTTAATGCATCTAATGCTGACATAGAATTTACAGTGTAGATTGGAGACCATAGGCAGATTTTAGGTCAGCCTTGCAACAGAGTATACATTATACTATGCCTGTTACACACATAAAATATTTACATAGCCCTGTGGTGTAAGATCACATACTGAAAGCCCCTACAACTGTCATGTGCCTATGCAAGGCAGCAGAGTTAAATTCACTCTTAGCTTCATGATTTGCAGATAAAACCTCCCTCTCTGTCCTGAATGTTAAGTCCTCTATAATCTTTTTCCCCTGATCATCAAACGCCAACGAAAGTCATGATGTTGGAGGATAAACCTTAAATAAGCACTACAGCCATTATACATCTTGACAGTGGCTTGGCATGTTTGCAAAAAGACATGGAATTGACACTACGGAAGGAATCTGAATAGGCTTTGGTCCCTAGATTTAAGGAGGTTTAAGATAGGTAAATTATGTTCAGCCACACGATGAAAGACTCCACCTGTTTGTGCTCGTTTGTCCTGCTGCCAGGAAAGCATTTGCCTGGGATGGGGGTGCTTCTCCCAATTTTCCCCAGGCTACAAGATATTTTAAAGGATGGGAGAGCAGGTTTTACTCTCCTCTTGCTACCCCATGTGTAGATTATATCTATCTTAAGTATCCATAAAGGCCTTTGTACTATGGAATCTAAGCCCTGACAGGATTCCACTGAGGCCAGGATTGTAACGGATACTGAACAGCAGCAGTCTGTGATGTCTTCATCTGCCTCTGCTGTCCTGGGTGCAACTTGCTACTGGTTCTGCTTCATGAGGATGAGGACATGGGAAACTAACTGAACACTGAAGGCAGTGAGCTTGCACTAGGGTCACTAAGGATACAAGCCAACATGCAGAACCTGGCGATAATGTGCAAAAAGAAAAGAACCCAGTTTAACTCCCAGACCCCAGTGGAGTTTATAGGGCCAACAATTAGAGAATGCATTGTTTTATTTGTAAACCATCCACAACTGATATGGAATTTTTTTTTAAACCACACATTACCTTTTCAGAATAGAACTCACTTTAAGAACGCCCTCCAACAGGCACTAAACTGTCGTGAACCTCCTGCCCCCCCCCCAAACGGTTTTAGAAACTTTTCTCCAAAGTAGGGAACAGAGGGAGAGAAGGGAGTTACCTGGTGTCTTTAGCCATGGGCTACTAGCTATCTAATCTGAGACCATTTCATAAATGTAGAAGTGATATAAAGCCAAGTACTAGAAGGCCAATTTGCCATTGTCCAGGCAGTTAAAATGGAAATGCAGGTAGCTGCTTGCAACAATGGGATCAGGAAACCTAGAAATGAAAAGAAGGTGGTGCTTCAAGAAGTAGGTAAGACTGGCCAGCTAAAATGGGAGCTGAAGACCAAAGGAGTGCACTAAAACCCAAGCAGATGTGAGCTAAAGGGAACAGGAACCTTGACAGCAACCAAATCAGAATGCTCAACCCTTACAACAAAAGAATGTGGAAGACCTGGGCCTGATTCTCCACTCTGTTACCAATTTTGCACTGCTGAAATTCAGTTGATTTCAGCAGAGTTACAGGAGTGTAAAACTGGTGTTACAGAGGGAACAATCAATTCCCTGGGTGTTAAGAATATGTTAATCTGGATCCTCTCCAATGGAAGTGCTGTCATGGTCGGAACCCCAAGAAGAAAAGAAACTGTCCAGGGGAGGGACAAAGGTCAGATGCCTAAAAATGGACCGGTTGTGGGGAGAGCTGACTGGCTGTTTGGAGGGAATGAATGAAATAGCAGTTTTATCAGTGTTTGGGCCTGCTGGCTGGGAGGGTTTTTTGAAGTTCTGATTGTTTCATTGTTAACTGGTTTTATTTTTCAGTAGGTTGTAATGCACCTAAAGTTCAGAATGGGCACCACTGAAGAGCTAGTGAAATACATAAAGTTTTGAACTATTAAGTTAGTGATCTAATAGAAACAAGTTAATCAGATTCACTTAGCTCCAGACCTACAAGTGTACTTAGGTGCTGTAGCAGCATACAGACTCACCAGTGCGGCACCTCCCACTGGTCATCCCTGGAATTAGCTCTTGTCCAGCTCCAGAGCTCCTCCTTCTAGCCAATGTCTCGCCTGCCTTAAGCCCTATGTCCCTTCCAGACCCCAGTGCCCCTTACCCAGGGGTTCTGCCCCCCAGCAATCCCCACACTCTGGGTCTCCCCTCCCAGGGGAACCCCCAACCCTCTATCCCAACCTTGCCTCAGTAGCTACTGAGAGTCATCATCGAGCCCCTATTCACTGGGGCAGACTGCCATCTGTAATGGCCACTCATCACTGGCAAATGATGGACCACCAAGTTGGACCACCTCCCTCTGCAGCCCCAGTATCTTTGTAGGCCTTCACCAAGGCTTGCAGCCTGGTGGTTTACCAGGCTGGATCTCCGCAGCTCCTCTTGCCCTTTCCTAGCACTGCTCTATGTTTGGTACCCTGAGCTCCCAGGCAGCTAAGTCCTTCTCTCTCTAGGGCTGGAGTGAGACTTCATCAGTTCCTGGCCCCGAGCCCTCTTATCAGGGCCAGCTGAGCCCTAATTGAGCTTACCACACCTGTGGTCAGCTACTCCCTCCGCTGCTCTCGCTGCATATCCCAGCTGCAGCCCTCTCCAGGGCCGCTTTTAACCCCTGTTCTGCTGGAGTGGGGTAGCTGCCCCACTACAGGTGCCCAAAGCCCAGATTAGACGTCTAGATCCCAAATTTAAGAGTCACTGTGATCCACAAAACCTCCACTTAGCTATCACCTCACCCTATAGATACCTAAACTCACTCGGTGCCTACATTGTTGGGGTAAAAGTTCCCTAGGGGCCTAAGTTTCTATTTCTGGGCATGTCCAGTGCTGCCTCACACTAGGCACCTGGCCACCTGAACCTC